AGTTGAAACACCCTCCTAGAGTTGAAACACCCTCCTAGAGTTGAAACACCCTCCTAGAGTTGAAACACCCTCCTAGAGTTGAAACACCCTCCTAGAATTGAAACACCGCCTTTTTTATTCGGGACGTTATATCGACATAGATTTGTGTCGGTATAATGTCCCTTTTTTTTTTGTCATTTCGTCAGCATAAACTTCTAGCGAACTTTATTTTTTAGTGAAATATTATCTTTACGCGGTGGCAAAAAAGCAAGTATTTTTATATATCGTTACTAAAAAAATTTATATATACAAAAGTATATTTACTTATTTTTACTTATCTTTCTAATTTATAATTTATTTGTTTATATTTTTTATTAATTTAGTTGTCCATTTCAGCGTCGTCTTTTTTTTTTTCGTCGTTAGTATCGTCTCTTTTGGTGTCTCTTTTTTTCGTCGTTGGTGTCGTCCATTTCGGTTCTTTCGTCGTTTTCGGCACTTCTCCTTTTGTAGTTTTCGTACTAGTTCTTTGTAAGTATTTTAAATTTTTTGTTACTTGTGTTTCGTTTCTTTCATATCGTTACTCATTATTCTTTCGGTTTTTTTCCGATAGGTCTTGTGATGGAACTCGCAACAGCATCACTGAAACTTACGCTACTTCGTGTGTTTGGACGTTAGTGTTAAGGTAGACATTAGTGTAGATTTTAGGGTTATGTTAAAATAGACGTTGGGTAGACATTAGGGTAGATGCAGATAATTATGATGAAAGCTCTTGTCTAGTTAAGAATTTGCAAGCTGAAATAAAAATAAATAAAATTAAATAATTACACATTTGATCGAAATAAAACTTAAGAAAATATTTTTGATTTTGATTTTTTTTTTGATCAATTATTCGTAACCAAAATCTTTACATTAACGTTAAGAGTAATAAATTTTTAATCGATTAAATTCCTCTTTACACAGAAAGGAAATTTAATAGCCCTTTGCAAAAAAGTGTTGATTCTTGATAATATTAAGATTTTCATGTACTTCGATAGTTTAATCAATTATTGTGCAAAGTGATTAATTTATTCGCATTAAGAGCTTGAACTTAAATTTTAAATCAAAAAAATACTCTTATGAAAGGAGATTTTTTTCGTAATTAACGATAATTTTTATTCTTAAAAACTACACAGTTGTTTTGTAATTATCGTAACGAATAATTAAGTCACTAAAACCTGCGTCAGATTGCAATCAGTTGACCAACATTAAATGATTGGTAATAATTGGCCTAAAAAAACTCCTAACTTTACCGTAATTTTACCCTAACCCTAATCTAACTTAGGCCGATTGCAATCTGACGCAAGTTTTAATCTGATGCACGACATATACGTAGGGATGTGTTACATAAATTACAATTTTACGTTACATGTAATTTTACGTAAGTTTCAGAAAACCAAATTTCATGT